TCGTTTGTTTGTATGGAAGTGTTACTAACCCTGAGATGTAGTGTTGTTCTCCAGTGCTGCATAGTGTTTTCGAAGAATGCAATGAGTGATGGATGTATTTTGTACATGTGTAGAATATGTAGCAGCCAACTGTGTGGGACACTGTCAAATGCTTTTCTGTACTCTACATATGCCATCTGTGTTGTTTGTATGCTTGCCGTAGAATGACTGAATCTATAAGTAACTGTTCTTTGCATCCCATGTGATTTCTACGACAACCGTTTTGTTGTTCTGTAAGAATGTTGTGTTCAACATATTTGTATATTTTCTTTGCGATACAGGATGTCAATAATTTGTAGAGTGTTGAAAGACATGTAATTGGTCTGTATTGTGTGGTGTCTGTGGTGTTATTATTTTTAGATTTTATATAGGTGATGCCTGAGTAAAAAATTTTGGCATAATGGATTGATGGTGATGTGTGTTAGGTGTTTAACTAGTTTCTGGTGAAGTGATGTAAATCTGAGATACACCAATTCACAAAGCAAAAGAACCAGCAATAGAAATAGAAAAGAACTACTCACTTTGAGAAGCAAATGTTTTCATCTGTTTTAAAACAACATCTTCAGGCTAGTGTTCTAAAATTTGAAATTGCATGTGTTTGGAACATATTTTAACTTTATATAGTCATTGATGATTGGAGGATAGCAGTTGATATGCTGATTGGTGGAATGTTTGTACATAGCAACCTACATGGAATATGCTTCTGCTGAACTTGCATATATTTTCCACAGGTTCAGGATTGCACTATCCTCTTTATAGTTGATAACTTTTGACTTTTGAGCAGCCCCATAGATCTCCATTAACTCCAGATACCCAATATGTGACCTATAATGTAACATTCAGTTTGCATCAGAAGTTCATATATAGTTAATTGATGCCTCCTGCCCCTAAGCTTTCCATAACTGGTTTTGAATTTCATTTATCTATCACCATTCTTGAGATTAAGGAAAGATAGACAGAAGAACAGATGGACTTTATAGGTCTACAATTTTTTTAAAATTGCAGACTTATAAATATGCAATGAATATGGTGGATGCTGCAGCATGGTGTATCTTAAAGCCTGCAGGATGTCAACAGTGTGGCAACCAATAGGAAGCTGCTCATTGTTGTGTAAGAGAATCATGTCACATCCCCATTTCCTGAGATAGTGTTGCTAAATGAGTCAACAGAATTGCTGCAGTGTCCTGCATTACTAGTCACTATTGATGCTCTCACCAGTGGATAGCCAAGCCAAAAGCAGGATCACCTCCTGATCCTAGAATACAGTCATCATTTGCTTCTTGACAAACATTTCTGGCTGTGGCTTCTTAGGTCAAGGGTTCCCAGTGTGCTTCCACTCCATGGATTGGCATTTCTTTTTGAGTGTCTTATGCCGGAGCCATGACTCATTCATTGCCTGTGACCAGATGCTCAAAGAACGCCATTAGATATGTGCTGTACAGATTCAGTATAAGTTGTTGGCATGTCTCCATATGCTGCTGTTTCTGCTGAGTAGTTTGAGAATGAGGAACCCATTGTGTGCAGATCTATTTCATCTTAAAATCTTGATAGATGACAGTATGCAGAGTTCTGAGTGACAGACACACTGCATCCTCCAGTTCATCAAAATGTGATTCCTGTCCTAAATCATCAAATCAGACATGCAATGGATGTTGTCTGGTTTCCATGCACTTGCCATCCATCCAATGCTTTTGCCTTTCTCAGCACAGTCCTTGCTGATTTTGAAGTCAGATATCCAGCAAAACATACTTCTGCGACTTTGTTGCACTATTCCAACACACTCACAGCTGCTAACCTCATGTGCATCTCTGATGCAGCCACTCCTTTCCTCCACAGAAACCACACCATCCATCACTGCCCATGATTATCTGTTTCCATTTTCTTTTTCCTCATCCACAAACTCACCTGCACAAATGACTCAGTACCTTTCTTCCTTTGCAATGCAACAATATCATCTGTTGGCAACTAGTGCCTCTGTAGCCTACCTTCACACACACACACACACACACACACGATATTTGCATTTCAAACTGTTACTTTTCTGGAGTTATAGGGAGGTGCCAAACATTTTTTAAAGCCCCTAATAATATCAATTCTGTACACTAAAAAGAACACACAAAATCTGGAAAACAAAAGTATGATATTTTGGCTACACAAAACCAAGACCATACCAAACTGCTCCAAAATGACAAAAAACAAACATTTCTATGAGCCAAGGAATTTGCATGGGAATTTTTCTTTTTGAATTTTACAATGATGCAAATACAAGTTATCAATTGTATTGTACAGTACAATGGGACACTTATGCATAATGCATTATATTTAATAGATTTAATTCATAGTAAATTTCGATGTCAGTTTTTAAAAATTTGATATAAATTAAATAAATTTAATGAGTAACTTTAAAATTATTTAAAAGGAGGCAGTAAATATATCACACACAGCTATATAAAAAAGAAAATTATATATTTATATAAAAGGTAAGTTTTTGGCATTTGGCAGGTTTTTATATTATTTATTGTATTTAATTTTTATTGATAAACTTCTTAAAAAACCAGATTAATTACTTAATTCTTTTGCACTTTGCATCATTTACTGTATTTAATTTCAAATAAATTTTCTATAAATTTTTAAATATATACAGTGGATGATCGGTTAACGAACATAATCTGTTCCAAGACTTTGTTCGCTATCCAAATTGATTGTTAACCGATTATCGATTTACCATAGGTTTTTATGGGAATTTGATTAATTCGTTCTGGAGACCCCAAAAAATAAAAAAATATACACTTTCTTACTACGTTTATTTATATGTAATAATAAACATATATATATATATATATACACACACACAATCTTGCATTTTTATTAGTCACGTTTTTTCTGTTTGTGGGGTTTAAAGAATCTGTCTGATGTCAATTGCTTTTCTCTCTTCTTCAAGATTTTTCAGAAGTAATTAATGGCATTGTAATTGTAGAGATCCCTAAACCTATTAACCTCAACCTGGTTTGGATGCCATTCTAAGACCATTGTTCTGACATCCTCCCACTTCTTCAAAAGATTTTTAATAGCAAATGTCAGCATTAATCCTCTTTTTCAGAAGAAAACATCTCACCAAGTTTTTCTTGGTGTTATTCATTCAAGAGTTCTTGGCGTTCTTCTGTCATCAGATCCGTTTCAGGTTCTATTATGAGCTCTTCAATGTTCTTTATTTCTCAATGTGATTTTTGTTATTAATTTAGCTGCTTGATTCTTCTCGATTATACTGTATCTTTCTTATATAAGATTGAACTGATGCCTACTGTAGACTTGTTTGAGCCATACTGCCCAGCAACAACAGACATCTTCTGCCCACTCTCTACCTTTGCTATTATACTCTCACCTTTCGAAAATAAAAACCGACGCAAAACTTAACGAGTGCTCACCCAACAGTCTCGCAAATACTATAAAAGAATTGTTTCTGTCAGAAAAATAAAAAAACTGGAATTACAAGGGAGAGTTTCAAAGTTCGCAGGAATACTAGCCAATCAATATATACCGGATTGAGCGTTGATGTCTACATCTCCCGCGCTCGAAATGTTCCGAATTGTTGCCTGAAGACAAGGGAAGACCAATCAGTATTCATTATTTTATGTTGCCTCTTCTTGTTCTGTGAGGTGTTCATTGTCCGAACATAAAAATCTTTAGTGAAAGTGTTTGTTATCCAATTTATTCGTTAACCGATCACCCCCTGTATATTAAAAAAAATTGAAATATGCAAATTATTTCAACTGTTGCATCTAAACAAAGTTTACATTAAAATAATAATTTGGAAAGTTCTAAATCATAACTTTTTCTACTGAGAATGTGTTTTTATTGTAGCTGATTCAATGCTGATACTAAAACTTTTATTTATAAATAAGATATCCATATTAATACATTTCCAATTTTTTTCACTAACAGAATATAAATGAGAGCATTATTATTCCATTAACAATGTTATAACAAAGTATTGAATACTTATAGAAAATTATTTTGACATTGTCACAATGCCAGGCTGCAATTTTTAATCATATTTTTTTATTTATTTAATTTAAAATATATGCCCGCCACCCAAATTAGTATTGTCTTGTCCCTGTATATCCTACTTTTCCTGTTAGCAATAGACTTGTGCTGGTCATCTATCTAACTCCTTTCAGGGGAAAATTTTGAATTAAAATAACATGACTTCCAGTTTGCACCATAAGTTTGTGTATAATTATGGCCTCCTGCCTCTAAGCTTTCCATATCTGGTCTTGGTTTTCATCTATCCAACTCTGTTCAAGATTAAGGAAGGACAGACAACAGACAGATGGACAGATAGTAGGAATTTATAGGTCTACAAATTTTCAAATTGCAGCCCAATCAAAAGTAAAATTAATGTGTTTACTGTATGTGCACATTTTTCCATTTGCTAAAAAAAGCCTTTATTTTTGAAAATTTTAGCATAAAGCTAAATAATTTTTACTTTCAAAATATTAAATTTTATTTTATAAAATAATCATTAAAAACTAATAAATTTAATAAATCATTATATTTTATATTTATTTTTATTATATTGTATATTATACCTTTTCCTAAATGAGTATTAATACTCATATATCTTGCAGTACCAGTTAAACTTTTATGTTCTCTATATGGTATATGTTTATTTGTTTCTGGATCTATATACTCTTTTGCCAAACCAAAATCAATGATATAGATGATACAATGTCGCTTTGATGACTGTCTCCAGATTAAAAAGTTCTCAGGCTTCACATCTCTATATATTAGATGTTTGGAATGAACATATTCTATACGATGAAGCTGTAATATTTATATAAATTATTTCTTTCAACTTTCTTATAATAAATAATTATAATATATGCACAGGGTCTTCCAACATGAATGCTACCATTTTAAATTACTGTAATTACATTAATTATTATCTGAGAAGTATGTGACATACACCATCAATAGAGTAACCATCAAAGTTTCATCTCCCATCTGCATTCAAACATCTTGTTGTCTATAACCTCTACAAAGCAATGTAAACAAAAATGGTGACTCTGGAACAAAGAAGACATTTTGTGTTATGCACTTTGCAAAGTCAAAGTCTATCATCATGGTGAAACACAAATAATCTACAGGAACTGTAGAATTGTGGTTGCTATGAGAAGAGTGACAATGGATATGCTCTAGAGCAGTAGTTTCCAACTTATTTTTATCGCAGAACCATTTTCACATTAATAAAAAATGTTGAAACCCTGACAATTTTTAATGATTACAGATAAAACAGCAAATAGAAACAGATTAAAGATAAAATAGCAAATAGAAACATCAAAAACAACTTATTGAAAATGGAAAAAAAAAATAAAAAAATAAAATAATAATAAGATTAATAATGGAAAGCAAATATTATTACTTAATTCAAACTGGTTAAAGCAGATTTAATGACTATTATTATTTATATGTTAGATACTTTTTACAGTTATTTTTTTAATGATTTTCTAGCTTTAGGTTAAGTTTTACCATTTTGATGGTTTTCATTATCTTGTCAAACATTATATTATGATTTCAGTTCCTTCCATTACCAATAAATTGGACCCCACTGTAAAGCTGTAAATAACTCTAGCACATATAGAGGATGTCATAAGAGGACTTGATTTGAGACTAAAACATTTACACCTGATACCAAATCTGCATTGGTGCATTCATACATCACTACACTCAACTGATTTTATTGTGGAACTCCAAATTTTATTGGTAGAACTATAGGGTTCTGTGGAAGACAAGTTGGGAACCCCTGCTGTGGAGTGTAGAAGAATTTGAGTATCAGTTAAATGTGTGCATGTGACATGAGGTATCCAATGTTTTAATGTATTGTACATTACAATGTTATTGGATAATTACAATAACTTAAAATGGTAGAATTCTTTTTGGAAGGCTCTATATAATTAATTATAATATTAATTTATATATATGATGTTAAGTTTAAATAATATAGAAACCATTTTTTTTTAATTTTATTGAATACATTTAGTATAATTAATAAAATACACACATATGTACAAAATATATAAATACTAGATACTATTATTATTATTTTTGCCCCCTCATCTTTCATTATTTTTCTCTAATTCCTATTTTTCATGGCAAAAATAAAATAGTATAGATGATCCTTTCTTTTCTTTACTACTACATTTTGAAACTAAGATTAAAGTATATACTCTCTTTTTTGAATTGACAAATTAAACATAATTTTTCTCTTGCATGTATTAATAAAGGCATAAAAACAACTCTGTGTAATCAATGACTTGTTATCTTTAATTACTTTCACAATAGATAATTATGCATGAAACATTTTACTTGTATGAATTCTGAGTTTGGCCATGATATCTCAGATTATAGTTAGATAATAACTAGATGCGTACTATTAATATCATTCACACACAAATTTTTCTAAATTAAAAAAATAGTACAATGGCAATCAAAAATATGTATTGATATATATTAATTCAAAATGTTAAGAATTAACAAAAACAAAAGGAATTACATAAAATATTAGTAAATATACTACAGTGGTACCTCAGGATACGAACGCCCCAGCATACAAAATTTTCAGGATACGACATGAAATTCGAACACATTTTTTGTTCCACGATACTAACAAAAACTCATCATACAACGTTACATTAGTTTGCAGCGCCATTTTTTATTCACTTCTGTTCACTGCTCTCAGTCCGCATGTTTGCTTCATCATGGAAGGATCTCGCTCGATAAAGGAAATCTTGAGGTATTATCAGAAAGTAATTGATTTTATTGAAAAGAAACATTCCAAAAAGGTTCATACTGGCTGTATTGCTGCTCAGAGTAATGACATTTGCCTAAGTCATTTTAGAAACATTTTAAAAAGTAGGCAAAGCCAAACCTCTTTGGATAGATATTTTACCAAATGACCTCTATCTAGTGTAAGTGCTGGTGGAAGTGAAGGAAAGAAAGCAAAAAGCAGTGAATAAAAATTTAAAAAAAAAAATATATATATATAAAACAACACTAATTTTTTTATCTTTTCTAAGTTATTTTTAAGTTATTGTTACATTATGTTATGTAAGTTAAGTTTTAGTATCATTTCCCTTCTCCCTCTCTTCCGCCACCAGTTTTCACCTCCACCATCGTCTATCCTCAAAGGTAAAGTGCAAATAAAACTACATTTTTTTTAATCAATTATTATTCTATCAATATTATGGTTATTTATACATTTACAAATACAAAATGCATTTTTCAGTGTTTTCCTTACTATAGTTATTTTTTTAAATGTACTACTTAGCTTTAATTTGAGTGTATTTTTTCATGTTGGAACAAATTATTTGGTTTTACATGTAATCATATGGGAAAAAATATTCACCTTACAACATTTTCATGATACGATCTCAGTTTCAGAATGGATTAATTTCGTATCCTGAGGTACCACTGCATTTGAATTTCTAAAAACAATTTTCTAAATTTTAAAACTTAGAAATATTAATATACATTGATTTTACTATGATCACAGGCAATTAAAAAATATCTAACTGCAATAATGTATTCATTACATTATTTAATTTAACTTAAACATTTCATAACTGACTTACACATTTTTAATTTTTGTCCTTAAAATTTTAAATTAAACTTACTAATTGAATTGCAATCATTAATACTGTTTTTAAACTAAATTTTCTTTCACACAAATCAAACAAGTCTTCTAAACTTGGACCCAAAAGTTCCATAACAAGTGCATTATACTTTCCGCAAGGTCCAAAATAGTAAACTTTTGGTACACCCTCTGAAATAAATTAAAAAAAAAAACAGATATTTTATTTAATTTTACAAATCATTACTTAAAATTTTACTGAATACATTAAAATCACTCAGTCATCTACACACAACCTTGTACAGCAGCAAAAGATATTCATTAAATTGGAAAAACTATTTCTGTTCTAATTTCTGTTAGTATTTGTAAAATGTTCACTTTTTGGAATATCAAACTGATTGAGGATTTGCTATTGAAGTACTTACTTTATGAATTACTGATTGCACTAAAATGTATTTTATATACTGTATAAGTTTTTAATCACAGATACATAAAGGATTGATAGCTATCTTTCCCGCATTTGTGACTGATATAGTAATATTTCCTATTTCTATAGATATACATGAATACAAGAAAGACATTGGCCGTACACAAAGTGTTTAGCCAGCAGAAAAGAGGGTAAGGGAAAGGGGAGGGGAAGAAGGAGGGAGAGGAGATAGACAGTAGAGAAGGTAGGATCCCTCTGAACAGTGTACATAAAGCTACAGTACCCTCTATGTTTGATGTTGGCATGCAGTTTTTAGGCTGCAAGGCTGTCAGATTTCCTTTTAGTCCCCCGAAGGGTCTAAAAGGAAACCTGAGTGTAACAAACACCAATAATTGAGTACCGCCACAAATAGCTAAGTGTAGAAGTTAGTGCCAAGTGGCTGTTAGTAGGAAGACTTATATCTACTTAATACTAATAAAGCTGAATGTGATTGCAAATATTAATAGTACTTAACAGCTGGACAGACAGCACAAAAAGCAAACGAACACAATGACAAACTAGACAATACGAATAGACCAACAGAGACAAACAAGCAAGACCACAAATTTTTTTTTATTTTTTTAAATGTTAACTTACTAACCAAACTAACCTACCATAACCTAGGACAAACCTAACCAGATGACTAAAGCTAACAAATCCTAATCTAATTTAACCTAATCTATCATAACCTAACTGGAAACCAAGCTACGAGTTCCTAATTTAACTTACAACTAGGACTAACCAAATTTAAACTGAAAAAGAAGACAGAAAATAAGAATTAAAATACAAAGTTGAAAGGCAGCTGTATACAGTCAGTTGAAACAAAGCAAGGGGAAGCTAACTGCCATCCGTGCCCCCTGAGTGAGTGCTCTCAAGACCACCACTAAGGATATGAATGTGAGTAGATGATGGAACATTGTACATGTGTGAATGAGTTGGTCCAGGTTGCAAGGTCAGTTGTACCCTTCAAGAATAGTAGCTCTCATTAAATTATCCCTAATGTGATTGTACCTATCGCAGCAAAAAACTAAGTGAAGTGGTGTTTGGTCCTCCTGAATACCACAATTGCATTGTGGATTGTCTCCAAGGTTAAATCTATGCAAGTATTGCTTAAAGTTGTCATGTCCTGTAAGTAGCTGAGTGAGGGTATAATTACGGTAAAAGAGGCAAAGAATCGCAGTAGTGTCAATCTTGAAGCATAAAGAAGGCAAATAGGAAAGGAAGAATTTCAAGCAGACATTTATAGGGGTCACATTTCAAAGAGGAGAAGAATCTCAGAAAGCAAATAATACATTTTATGCAGATTTAATGACTGCTCTTTTGCAGGCAAATATACCCTTATATAAGGTAAACAATCCAGCCTTTAAGCCATTTCTCCAGAAATATATGAAAAAACTTGTCTCCGACAAAAGCACTCTTAGAAAAAACTACGTGAAACCAGTTTATGATCAAACAATATCTAAAATCCTGGACATTGTCAGAGAAAATCTTGTAGTGTTCATTAGTGAGAAAATTAACGCGTTTATCAACAAACTTCCTCCTGGTGATTCTGTGGCCATTGACAGTGTCAAGAAACTGGACAAAACAATGCATTCCACAAAACAGTACATGCTGAACGTTCTTGTTGCACCTCTGCCCAGATGCTATGTACAACCAATGTTGTTCAAAATGTAACAACTTGAAAATACAAACTCAACTGCAGTGTCTCAAGCTTTCAATGATGTTTGCATCAAGTTGTGGCCAAATGGCGTCTAGTATGAAAAAGTTTGGCTTGTCCTTACAGATCAAGCATCTTCCATGTTGTCAGCATTCTCAAATTTGAAGTGCATTTACAATAACCTAAAGCATGTGACTTATCTTGCCCATGCCCTATACCTAGTATGTGAACATATTCATGTAGAATATAGCAAGGCCAATGACTTCATTTCGAAAATGAAAATGGCTCTTCTCAAGTGCCCTAGTCAAGAGCACTTGTACCAAGACATAACTGAACTGCCATTACCACCCAGTCCAGTGGTCACTCACTGGGGGTCTTTGATAAACAGTGTGGTATTCTACTGCAAGAACTTTGAGAAAATTAATGCATTTATCAACGAACTCCCTCCTGGCAATTCTGCAGCAGTTGACAGTGTCAAGAAACTGGTCGCTGATCCAGTAGTGATCACAGAACTCTACTCCATTCATTCGTACAAATTATTGGTGGATAAAATCAAAGAGCTGGAAAGACATGGAACTGGAATATAGGATCAGTGGAATGTTGTAAGTCAGGCACTTGATGTACTGGATGATTTTGCCCTGGACAAACTCAGATCTAGTTTATCAAAAAAATCCCAATTTGAAAAATATTTTGGATTGCACTGAACTAGAATTCCAAGTAAAAATGAAACATGCCCCCTTAGTTTCAGTCGACGTAGAAAGATCTTTTTTCCTATATAAAGACACTATATAAAGTCATTCTATCCTCCAAACGAGAAAACTTTACTTTTAAGAACATTGAAATGGTTACTGTTGTAAATTACAATGCTCATCTTTATGTCTAAATTGCAATAAACAATTATATAGTTTGTAAATATGAGTCCTCACTTGCTAAATCTATTAACTCCATAAAACAATAAGTATAAAAATTGATAATATAAATAATTTTTTTAAAAATTCCTTTTAAACTTTAAATTTAAATAAATATTGTAGAATGTATTTTTATATACCATTATATTAAAGCATAGTTTTAATGTAACGATATATAAAATTAATTATGTGAAAAATGTAAAAGTAATAACGATTATATTAAGGATTTAATCGATTTGGCTGTGAATGGTTAACATAATACTTGTTGTTGGTTTTTGTCTTAAAAATACTGAATTTAAAAGCACCCAAATCAGCACCCAAAATGGAGGAAAAAGCACCCAAATCAGCACCCAATCCATTCGAAAAATGCACCCAAAAATCTGGACATTAATGATATGTGAAAACTACACATTCACACAAGCACGGCTTGTGTGAATGTTGTAGAGTTTTATGTCAGCATATACATAAGACAAAAAAATATATATTGTGTTGTTTTGTTGTCTTTGATAAATCCATATTTAATGCTGTATAAACCTATTGAATAGCAAGTTTAAGACAAGACAAAACAGAGTGGACTGAGTAGTGTCAAGACAAGATTGACGCAGTAGTGTCAATCTTGAAGCATAAAGAAGGCAAATAGGAAAGGAAGAATTTCAAGCAGACATTTATAGGGGTCACATTTCAAAGAGGAGAAGAATCTCAGAAAGCAAATAATACATTTTATGCAGATTTAATGACTGCTCTTTTGCAGGCAAATATACCCTTATATAAGGTAAACAATCCAGCCTTTAAGCCATTTCTCCAGAAATATATAAAATATTTTTCTCTGTAAAGCATCTTGCCTTATACACAATGTATGTATTTGGTTTGTTTTAATGTGTGTGTAGTGTTGCATTGTATTTTCTAAAAATGTAATGAGTATTGGATGTATTTTGTATAGATATAATGTATGCAATAACCACAAGTCTGGGATACTGCCAAATGCCTTCATAATCTATGCACGCTATGTATAGGTTTCTGTATTGGTTGTATGCGTCATGACTTATCTAGGAATAGCTGATATTTGCAACCCATGGTTTCTACAATAACCTTTTTATTGCTCTGTGAGAATATTGTATTGTTTTATATAATGGTTATTTTGTTTGTGATGCATGAAGAGTGCATTTTGTAAAATGTAAGAAGACACATGATTGGTCTGTATTGTATAGTGCCTCCTGTTTTTGGTTTCTTGGTGTCATTGTTTTTGGATTTCATATATGTGATGCCCTGTAAAAAATATTAGTATGTCTTGTGGATTGTTAACTGTGTGTGTAAAATTTTGGCTAGATCCTGGCACAAGGATGTAATTTTTTTCACTATAAATTGTAAAAGTTGTCTTCATCAGGTGTCTTCTAATTGTGTGTTTTTTATACTGCATGTTGAATGTCATGTATGTTACTTCAACACAGGGCTTGATTAGAGTCTCACACAAGTTTCATTCTTCCTCTTTGATCCAGCCTACTACATCTTAGTGTGTGACTGATTCAACTAAAGAGTAGACCAATAGTTTGAGTTGTTCTATTTGGCATGCCACTGTGCTATTATTGTGTGGTTGGTTTGATATATATAAGTGCTTCATTGCTAATAAATAATTTATTTTGTTGTTTTCCTAGTATACAAGCTTTGTATCATTTCAGTCTTTGTGACTTATCTGCATGTTTTTTTTTTGAGGTGTCTGCATTCCTGTACAGGTATATTGTCTTGTTTTAATTTTCCTGAATATTTTCCTAACCTCTTTCATTAAATTTGATGTTATGTTGTTTTTAGTATATTGTGTCAATACTAGACAACAATTAGGTAGACTATGTATTTGTTTCCAGCCTTCTTTATCAGACAATCTTATAATTTGTGTGTTTTGATTGGGCATAGGTACAGTACATAGGTATAGTAACTGCACTAGAATAAACTGATGTATGTACTGTATGTGTAAAAGTGTTGATTCTGATTGAATGTGTTTTGGTAATATATGAAAAATTATGTAGTATAGAGTTTCTCCTATTCATTTTGATGTGCATATTTTGGGTATTTGTAGTCTTTGCATAGGGTCTAATTTAGTATATTTAGTGTTGGAAACCAATAAAAAAAAATGCTTGGATTTTACAAAGAAATCTGTAAATATAACGATAAATTTTCTATCATCTGAGAAAAGGGCAATGTCCATGGTTCTGATGGAAGAAAATTAGTGCAGAAGAGGTAATGGATAGAATATCTAAATTTGTACCAAATATGTATTTATGATTTTATATTTTTAAATTTTCATGCATTTTAATTATTTTTAAAATATTATTCTCTTAGTATTAAAAAATGATATGTTAATTCAAAATCAGTATGTTGCATCAATTTTCTACTTACCATGATTGCCTAATAATTTATAAAACCTATATTCCAAATGTAACTGAGGAGCTTTTGATTTCATGGGTTCCTGAAATATCAAAATAAACAAAAATTTTGATTTTGTAATTACAAGTAGAATATAAAAATATAATTTTATAGGAAAGATTTTTCATAATCAATATCATTCTTTAATTTATTGAAGTTTCACAATATTTAACATGCAAATAATAAAAATTTTGAATATACAGTACATCTGCAATTGTCTATATATAATTTTGTAATTTTTAATTTAATTTAAACGATAAAAAATTTCTGAATCAATTTCATAGTTTCTCTTTATACATCATTATAATTATATATATCAAAGAATCTGTTTATTTTTCTGTATACCCAGGGTACCCCAATAAAACTGTCACATTTATGAGATCAGCCTGGACGTAAACTAGGTTACGCCACTTACTGGCACTAGTCGGTAAGACCAGTTCTCTTACTTTTTATAGGAGGGCTTTTATAAATGATCCAAATCGCGAGATTTGGATCTACGTCAGGATTCCTGTGACACCAGTTAATCAATCTTATAACACGCAGATTAACACGCGTGAAGTAATCTTATTACGATTCAAATTAAGAGACAATTCTTATAGAAAACAACAAGAATAAATTTAATAAGTCAATATAAATAACTATTACAAGATATAAATGATTGAGAGATATAAATATGACTATTAAGATACACATCGAGATAAATACGAACTATCTTATAATCTATACGAGAGGTTGAGAGATATATGGCCTTATATCTAATCGATACACGATCGAGAGAGAGAGCTCACAAAATCATTTGAAACATACAACCTGTGTTAGTTGTTCTCATCTTCTTCTGTATTCGATGTATTTGCCGCACTTCTTGAGTATTCTGTATTCTCTCCTCTTCTGGAGAGATCACTTAACTGAGAATGTCTATAACTATCGAAGTAATTCCTTGTATGTCGTATGGCTCATAGCATAGGCCTTTTAGGAGCAGATATGTATGGAGGTCTGACGATGAACTCCCCGAATTCTGACAAATTTCCTCTATATCTGCTGATTTTCGACCAATCATCAGACAGAGACTCTTTCATGAGAACGGATGAAAGGGGAATGAATGAGGGGTAAACATTTCCCATCTGAGCGGGATTTTAACCAGATAAGGGAAGTCAGAGGATGTTCTAACTTCTGTGAAAGGAAGTAACATCTGTTATCTGCCTTTTCCCACGTTTAAAACATTATTTTCTCACCAAAAATGAAGTAATATTTGGTGACAATATTTATTATTATTAATAAAATTATTAAATTAGACCCAGGGGCCTTTCAGGTCTCACACATTTATTAAATAAGATTTGTACCAACCTACATGAACAAGTCAGCCGTGTGAGATGTGCAAGATGTGTTACTCATCTAGATATACCAATATAGCTGTTTGTGTAGAACTAGTAATTGCATTATGAAAATGGAGGTAAAATATGAAGTGGTGCCAGCTCTTCATCTAGAAGATCTGAAAGCCAAGGATATTTTGAAGTTATGTCTGGGAATGAACCAGAGGTTTATTCAAAGAACTGTAAAATGATATAGAAATACAGGGAAAGTCAAAGGAGAGAAATTGGAAACATGGAAAACCCATATCTGTACAGATGCCAGAAGTTATTAAGTGCATTAGAAAGCAACTCAGGCAAACCTAGTACAGTCAGGAAGGAAGCGGCTACTAACTCAATTAGCAAAATCATCAACACATTGAATTGTGTGAAATAATCTATATTTCTGTGCTTACAAGAAACAAAGTTCATGGCCTGACAGAGAAGCAGGAGGCTAAGACGGAAAGATGCAAAAAGTTGCTTTCATGTCATGCAAAATTATTGATTCTTTTTTCTGACAAAAAATGTGCCAGCTGCAAAACACATTCAACAGCCAGAATGCCCACATCTAAGCAGGTTCTCTAAAGGATGTTCCAAAGAACAAGATAAGGTTCAGCACTTTCAGAACATACCCTAAGTCATGGTCTGGATTGCTATTTCCATTTGTGGAGAAACACACATTACACTGACACTGCTAGTATTCATTGAACCAGAAGTCAAAGTAAACCAGGATTACTATAATGCCACATCCTGGAGAGTTTTCTAACGTTAAATGTGAGAAATATGTTTGGAGAAAACCACTTCTGCTTTCAGCAGGATTGTGCCATCACTGAAGGACAAGCACGTTATATCCTGGCCAGAGAAATATTGCTAGAGTTCATGCTGAATGAATAGCCTGCCTTATCTCCAGACCTTAACCTACTAGACTACTGCATTTAGGGCTACATGCTGGACAAAATCCACATCACAAATGTCCAACAACAACTAAGTTACAACCTATTTGATAAAGATTTGGGATGAAATTTTAATAGATAATGTTTGAACCAAGTGTAACACATTCATTTCAAAGTGAATGGAGGCAAAAGAGCATACTGAACTCAATGTTTTCATAATTTAAACTAATATTCTATTCATATAAAAAGTAAAATTTTAAAAGAAAAAAATGTGTGTGTTTTATTGCTTAAGATAAGTGTGACAGTTTCATTGGAGTACTCTGTATATGATAACAGTACAATATACTAAACAATTTCTCTCCTTTTAAAATTAACAATTATTTATGTAATAAAGTTTTTAGAAATCTCTTAATATACAGTTTATAATCAATATAAATAATATCCAGTGAATTTTTTACATATAAATGAATTTTCTTACAGCTTTAGCTAGGTGTAGAATATAATCAAGGTCAACTCTTACAAAAACAAGTCCTTTGTTTTTCTTAAAGCTGTACACAGTATTTTAGTATAAAAATTTAGTTTGTGCAAAAATTTATATATTATATAAATTTTATTATAATAAAATAAATTTAAAGAAGACTCACCAATTTAATTGCTACNCATTATTATATAAATTCTTTCCTAAAAATATTTTATTAAATATTAAAAATTAAATATATATATATAGTAAAAACTTTTGATTAACAAAATTATAGCTAATAAAGTTCATTATAATTAAAAACAAGTAAAACAACAGTTGCTTAACTACTTTAATTAATATAAAGTTATCATATAGGATTGTCATCCTGTATGCTATGCTTATGCTCTGAAAGACAAGTTTTAGAAAAAATCTGGCAACTTAGTTCTGAGATTCATTGAACTCTATCAAATAATCAATCTAAAATAGTAGCCAGTGCTACCCACATGAAATCTCTTACAACATTATTATTATTGTCATTTCAATAGCCAATTATTAGTATTTACTAAAAATAATATTGAAAAAATCCAGGTTTCATTCTTCACAAAACATCTTTACAATATGAAAATTGTAATTATATCATTTAAACAAGAATGAAAACAATCCAACTTCAATGAGCAAAACTTCAGAATTTTCTGATACCATTAAAGAACCAATACGAATATTAGGTTAACTTTATATAGACAACACTTACAGGATAAAAAAGAATATAGGAAACATAAACTGGATATTTTTTAAGGTCAGAAGAACTGCAGTTTTATCACAGGAAGAGTTAAGCAGAAATGTCTAAGCAAGCAGAAACAAATTAACTATCACAAGCTGCCTTCAGAGAGATGCATGCTGCTTAGGATAGCCAAGAATATTATTAATAACGTAAATCTCTAGTTAATAAGAGTTAAGAAGTTATTGTCACAAAACTTAGATTTTAGAGCACTTTTACACACAAATGACACTTTTATACTTTTATTTTTATTTAATTTTATTGCATTGCATTTACCTTTTTTTATCCTATTTATACTTAGCTTCTTAAAATAAAACCGATAAATAATTTGGATTCTTAGAATTGCTATAGCAACTGTTTCAAAATTATAGCATTAATATAGCATATAAATAAAATACACTGTATTTACTTTAATGTAAGATATCATCAAATCTAAGATGTACCTTAACTTCTAGAAACATCTTCACTTTGTGTTAGGCCAGTGTTTCCCAACCTTTTTTGTGCTATGCCCCACCTAAGCCTTTCTAAAATTCTCATGCCCCCCTAACATATACAGTGGCTATACCAGGCATGGCCAACATACGGCCTGTCTAATGAATTTATGTGGCCCGTAATTAATCTTCCAATATTAGTTACTCAAGTCCGAATAGCTCGATGAAAAATTCTGATGCCTAAAAAAAAAAATCAACAACTCATTTTCAAATTGCCCCCCTTAACAATCGAATTGCCCCCTTGTGGGGCGTGGCCCCACTTTGGGAAACACTGTGTTAGGCTCTTTTGAAACCAACACTGAATTTGATGCTCACATCTTCCAATGCACAATCAACCTCAGTGCTTTTAAAAAGCATCAGAAAGAATGTTGCATAACTTTTCTTAACATACACGTACTTGTGTATTGTTACTAACAGATTAATGAGATTAAGCTAAGTTGATCTCTTAAATATTTGTTATTACAAATATTGATTTAATACAGGGCTGTGGAGTCACGTAAAAATCTACCGACTCCAACTCTGACTTTTCCTTACCATCCGACTCCGACCAGGGGCGGACTTGTTACCGAAAGAGACCCGAAAATTCTGATGTCATCACGTGACCTCAGAATAAAAGATTTAATAAATAGAGTTCTAATAAAGATTGAAATAAAAAGTTTCTGTTCTAAGCTAAAAGACTCCTCTTAGTAATATATAAATACGTATTTGATAATTTTTACTTTTCCGGCTGTTATATACAGTGGTGCCTCGTATAACATACACCTCGAATAACAAACGCTGCGAACAACGGACTTTGTTTGGCCATTACGTGACTCGAGCAACGAACTGGTTGCGAACAACGGACTTTCCATTCAGCAGTTACGTGAGGCGAACAACGGTCTTTCTGCGAACAAGTGCGAATGATGTTTCCACTCTTTTGCTGTTGCCAATGACAATCTGCTATTTTTATATATTAGTATTATTAGAATATATTATTAGTATATCTAAAGTACAGAGCTCTCGTTGGGATTCGGCTTGCTACCTTATTTATTATGTACATCACCTCAGTGCAGGGTATTTACATTTATTCAAGTGTTGTGCAAATCATGGCTTCTAAAAAAACAGAAAGGTGATTTCAATTGAAACAAAGCAAGACATCATCAGAAGGAGTGAAAGTTGATGACAACTCCCTTGTCGAATGGGAGAGATTCGGGAGTTTACCAACACTCATTATCCAAACAGAGCTGAGGCCACCAGGATCAATGATCTCTACAATGACACCCTTGCCTGCCATTTCCGACAGGTGTTGAAGAAAAGAGAGAAACAGACCACCTTGGACATGTTTTTCAAGAAGCAAGCTGCCAAAAAACAAAGGATGGAACAAGAGGAGTTGACCACTTTGGACATGTTTTTCAAGAAGCAAGCTGCCAAAAAACAAAGGATGGAACAAGAGGAGATGACCCTGCAAGCTCCAGTAGCCTCTCCTGAATCTGACTCCGATTAAAAAACAATAAAAAGAGACCTGCTGCAATGTGTAAAACGTCTGTATCTGTATGAATGTGTAAAGAAAGTGTTCCTCCACCTCCTCCTCACATCTCACTGCCCGGCATAATTGATGACTGCTCCATTTTCATTTTTTTTATGGAAAAGTATGGTTATTTTATGCTGCGGAACAAATTATATGTTTTAACATGTATTTCTATGGTAAAATGTGTTTCGTATAACGGACTTTTCACTTAACGGACATGCACCCGGAACAAACTAAGTACGTTATACAAGGTACCACTGTATAACAGAGGATATATAACAAAGTGTAGCACTCGGTCAAAAAAAATGACCCCTCCCAAATTTTTACATTTTTGGACTCAGAACACCTTGAAATTTCGAGTTAATTAAGCAAAAGATTCAAGGTTTTTTCTATATGTGTGGATGTTAGACTGTGGGAGGGGGGGCATGATTTTGTTCACCCTGTTTGAAGCCTAATAATTTCTGTGGTCAAAGTGGTCAGAATCGGAGTCAGATGGTTTAACACAGGAGTTAGTTATTAAGCGTCAAAGTGGTTGAACTAAATCGGACCCCATACACATTCTAACATCTTAGGCGAGAACATCTTAACGGTTTTACTGTACTATTATAAAATGGCAAAAAAGTTTACTTTGAGGGTAGAGACGAGTTTTATTTTATTTTTTTAAATTTTGAATGCTAATAACGAGTAAAACATTCATTAAGAGATATGACATGACCCTTTTTATGTCTTCACCCTGTCGACCTTTAATTAAGAACCAAAATTTAATAGTATTAATGCCTCTTTATACGCAAGCTACAGTGCCACATTTCGTTTCTTAAACTTTACCTATTCTGAGATATTGTTTAATATCTCAGTACAGAAAATAAACAAATTAAACAAATTAGACACCAATGCACGCACACAATTTTTCCCCTTTTATTGACATTTTTGAGGGGTTTGGGAAGTCTCCAAACATGTAGATTTGCAAAAAAATACTTGGATGGTCAAATTTGACATGATTCCAATACTTCTCCATTTTATATACATAACAAGTTGGTAAGTAAAAAGGAGTCAGAGTTGGCAGATTTTTTGATGACTCGGACTCTGGCTAAATCACCAAAACTCCACAACTCCGACTCTACAGTCCTGGTTTAATAAAATCATTAAAATGATACAATGGAATTAGTGACAAAGAAATAACATGCATGTAACTAGAGGTAATTAATTATGACATATTACATTAAATCTAAGATGCCATTGAATGAAGATATACCCTATTTTCAGATAATAAAAACTGAAAAGAAGCACATCTTACATTCATTCAAGTGAATACATTAATACAGTTTAGAAAATGCTTCTGGTGAATAAAAAAAATTGAACTTCTCAAACTTGTGAATTGTGATTCATCATTTTTAACATACTAATAAATACATGTGATAAAAAAATTGCAATAATATATATATATATATATATATATACACTATTGCAATTTTTTTTTTATNACTATTTAGTAATAAGTGGCTATTAAACCTCTCAACTAAATTATGTCTGAACAAACCTTAAATATTACAAAGTAAGAATTTCAAATTTTAGAAAATCAGCTTGCTGTAATTAAGTAATAACTAAAAAAAGCTATTATTTTTTTATGTTTTCAGAATACAAATTCATTTTTAAAAAACTTGAATTTAATTGAATAAATTCTCTAAAAGTATTTTTCAATTTTCAAAAAATATATAATTGCAATAAAGAATATAATTATATTTGTTTCTTTTGATTATTTAGAGAAATGTGAACACCTTCAGGCATAAAAAGAACCGCTACTACTCTCGCACTCTGCAAGGGTGGTAGCAGTTGCAACTGGTTTGCAGATGTCTGTTGATTGTATGAGTGCAATTTTGTCTCATTGTGTTAATGTCCTTTCATTATTGTTTGGTGTAATGTTTCAGCCGATCCCTCAAAAACAATCTTTAACTCTTTATGACCTGTCTGGTTATGAAAATAGTCATTACACCACACTTGTGTGTTAACATCCAGCTTTAGTTTTAATTGTAATGTCTTCATTCTTACGGCCTATGAATAGAACCTTTCATGTATACTATTTTTGTGTTATTATGATACTAACTGATGAGGGACTACCAATAGTCCGAAATGAATATTATAATATATTGTACATATTGGTTTTTAATCTTTGCAAACTCTTCCTTTGTAATTTAACTGTACAGTGGGTGATCAGCTAATGAACATAATCCATTCCAAGACTTTGTTCGCTATCCAAATTGTTTGTTAACCGATTATCGATTTACCATAGGTTTTTATGGGAATTTGATTAATTCGTTCTGGAGACCCCAAAAAATAAAAAAAATATACACTTTCTTACTACGTTTATTTATATGTAATAATAAACATATATATATATATATATATACACACACACAATCTTGCATTTTTATTAGTCACGTTTTTTCT